AGTGTCCCCGCCTCGCCCTGGCTGTGCCCGGGTCGGGGGGTGCACCCTGGGTGACACCGTGCCCTCCCCACAGGAGTACATGCACATGATGGGCCTCAGCAACTGGTTGCACTGGAGTGCCTGGTTCCTCATGTTCTTCCTCTTCCTCCTGGTGTCCGTGTTCTTCGTCACCGTGCTCTTCTGTGTCCAGGTGACCTCAGCTGCCTTTCCCCGCAGGGGTGACCTCCCTAGGAGGGGGCTGAGGGGTGGGACCCCCTACCCCAGGCACCGGGGGGGCCTTGGCGGCCCCATGCAGAGCGGGACCACCCCCCTCTGCAGCCCCTCGGAGGGACTCGAGCTCTCCCCTCTGCCCGTACCCAGCCGTCAGGAGCGGGAGATGCCGCCAGGGCGCTGAGCAGGGTGTCCCCCGCCTCCTAGAGCCTGTGTCACCCAAAGACAGCCCGTATTTCTTCCCTCTAGGGGGGTCCAAGAGGCCCTGGGTGTTCTCGCCTGTCTGTGGGTTTGTCCTGAACCCTGGAGAAGGGCTCACTGCGCGGCCGTGGCCGTGGCCGGCTCGGCCAGCCCTGGGCGTAACTGGGTTTTTTTGGCAGGTGAGCGAGCAGGGAGCTGTGCTCACCAACAGCGACCCCACGCTGGTCTTCACCTTCCTTGCCATCTTCTCCATCTCCTCCATCTCCTTCAACTTCATGGTGAGCACCTTCTTATCCAGCGGTGAATCCCTCGCCTCGGTGTGTCGCTGGGCTGGGGTCGCGCTGTGGGCCCCGTGCCGTGGAGTCTGGGGTTCGTGTTGGTTGGGAGGCAGCTCTGGAGGCCATCGGTCTATCCTGCTCAGAGCGCGGCCGGCTCCTCCAGAGCTCTGTGAGGTTGCGCAGGGCTCTGTGTTGGATAACTTGCTTCGTGCATGGTGGGGGGGATTTTCTTCCCCTTTTTTGGCTGTGTTTCACCACGCCGCTTGGGAAGGGGTGCGTGTTCTGCCGCTTCCCAAACCAGGCTCACGCATCGGGGCATCACCTGGCTGTCGTGGCCCCAGGACATTCTGGTTGGGGATGGGCAGGGTGTTCCGACAGCTGCCCACCATGGGGCCGGGGGCTGGCGCTGCTCCTGCCCTGCCCTGGGACTGGGGCAAGTCCTCATCCTGCCCCCTGTGAACCCCCTTTGTGCCAAAAGCTTCGATCTCCGTGGATGGAAAGCTGGTGGGAAATACCCCTTGGCTTTACCGTATTATTGACGTTTTCCCTTTTGCTTTTCTCTCTGCTGGCAGCAAACGTCGCAGCTGCCGCTGGCGGCTTCCTCTACTTTTTCTCCTACATCCCTTACTTCTTCATCTCGCCCCGCTACGACCTGATGTCCCACAGCCAGAAGCTGGCGTCCTGCCTCATCTCCAACGTGGCCATGGCCATGGGCGCCCAGCTCATCGGCATGTTCGAAGGGAAAGGTGAGTGAACGGCTCCCGTCCCTCAGGAGAGGAGCCAGCCCTTTTTTTTGGGTGGTTTGGGACTGGCTGGTGTGCAGGGCAAAGGCTAGAAGGAAGTCAGGGAGAGGCACCCTCCTGCTCCTAACGAGAGCAGGAGGGCTAGTTGCTGAGAGGGTCTGATCAGCACCCAGGGCTCTGGCACTCCCAACCCATGCCCATGGCAGTCTGGACTGTACAAAATGCCATCATCACTTTAATCGCCGAGAGAATTCTGCTTGAAGGGATGGGAATCCATTGCATTTCCTCCTCCCCAATATATATTTTGAATTTCATAGAATCCCAGAATGGTTTGGGTTGGAAGGGAGCTTAAAGATCATTGAGTTGCACCCCTGCCATGGGCAGGGACACCTCCCACTAGCCCAGGTTGGTCCAGGTTAATACATTTCTACGTTAATAAGAATTTGCTGTTGGTTCCAGCAGCAGCCACGCTATTGCAAAGTGGTGGCACTGAACAGGTGACATCAGTGACAGTGAGACAGCAGCTAAAGAAGAGTTTGCTTCTTCCCAGGGCTGTTGCAGACAATGTGATGGAAGAATTGTGATGGGGTGGGGAGCCCCAAGATGCCCGTGTTCTTCCTGCTCGGTCTTCTTGCTCCATCTGTAGAATGGGAACTGTAGAGCCGTGCATGCACTCCGTGTTACTGAGCAGTGGGTTAGGACAGGGATGCTCTGCAACAATCTTGGGGAGTGTGCCATCCTCCTGGGGACGCAGAGGTGGGCAGCGCCCCGTGTGCCTTGCAGGGACTGGCATTCAGTGGAGGGACCTCATGAAGCCCGTCAGCGTGGATGACAACTTCACCTTGGCCCAGGTGCTGGGGATGCTGCTGCTGGACTCGGTGCTCTACGGCCTGGTGGCCTGGTACGTGGAGGCTGTCTTCCCGGGGGAGTACGGCGTGCCGCAGCCCTGGTACTTCTTCTTGACGGTGAGCACTGCGTACGCACCCCTTCCCTGATGGACATCGCCTGGGGACGGTCCCCACTTCTGTGCTGGGCAGGGGGCTGGACGAAGGGACCAGGGTGGCACCATCTGGCCCCCAGAATCCAGGGGTCCTCAGGAAGGGTTGATGCAGCTCAATTTTTTTACTGAATATAAAGGTCTTTTTGGCTTTAAATCTCTGTGCTGACACTTGTTGGTGTGCGGGTGTTGTTAAGTGTCTCCACACCCCAAGTGAAGGCGTTGGAGAGAAGCCCCCTGTGTGAGCAACCAGATCCCATCATTTGAGCCTCCCCGAGCGCTGCAGGGTCACCGGGAAGGTCTGTGTCTCGCTGCCAGCCCCCACGTGCCGGGGGATGGGTGATGACTGTCACCCCGTCAGCTGAGCTGCCCTGGCTCTGCCAAGTCAGATGCTTGGCACCGTCTCCAGCGGCTGGAGCTGCGGGGGGTGCTGTTTCTGCGGGGGTTGCTGCGGCTCAGCTGCCTGCGGAGGGGTCGTTAAGCCGCAGCAACACGAGCAATTTCCATCCTGTGGCCGTATCTCTTCTTAGTTGGGCTGGAGGCTTTTCTTCCCCTCTAAATTCCTCATCCTTCCGCTCCAGCATCCCGCTCCTTGCAGTTAGTCCAGGGTTGCAGAGATGCAGCTGTCCGCTGAAACCCACAATGGGATGCTGATTTTGGGTTCAGGAGTTCTTGAATTGCTATTTCCACAGGGATTTAAGGTCTCAAACACTTATTTTCATTCCTGGAGGGCCTGGTTAGAAAAAAAAAACCAGGCTGTAACTGGAGCAGCTGGAGCCCAGGCTGTTTGTATTAGTGTGTGTCGAGGTTTTTGGAGGGGTGATCTTCTGGGCAGGGTGCTTCTGCCTGAGCAGCTTTGCTTCTCATTGGAGTCCTGACCTTTTCCATGGGAACAAAGATGGGGAAGAGCTGCGTGTGTAATCACGGGCAGTCCTGCTGCACGGGAGAGCCGGGGGAGGCAGCGGGGCAGGAGGAGCCTTTTCACCCTCTGGCTGCCCTGCTGGCTGACGATGTGCTGGGTGGCAGTTCCCAGGCTGAGGAGAGTGGTCTTGGAGATCCACAGGAGGCATCTGTGTGGGACAAGGAGGTTGGATGAGGCTGGGGAGAAGATCTGGGCTCTGCCTGTGCCTGAGTTTCTCTCTTTGCCTTCTTTCATCAGCCCTCGTACTGGTGCGGGCGCCCGAGGACCGTCGTGGGAAAAGAGAAGGAGGAGGAGGAGGACCCCGAGAAAGCCCTGAAGAGCCAGTACATTGAGGAGGAACCTGCCGACCTTGTGTCAGGAATCAAAATAAAGCGTCTTTCCAAGGTACCAACTGCCCACCACAGCACAAATTCATCATAACATTGTTTTTGTAAAAACTGCTGCCTGCAGGCAGCTTCCTTCATGTTTGACTGCCTCCTCACCCCGGGGCTGGGTGCCTTGGCTGCTGTAAGGCAGGTGAGGCTCTTCCCCAGAGCTGGCTGTGTTTTCTTGTGGGTTGAAGTGTTAGGTACTTGCAGGTGTGGTGACATCTATATTTAACCTGAATTAGACCCGTCGTCTATTGCCAACACCGCCTGAGCACCATGGGCTCTGACTGCGGGTGGATCTGAGAGCACTTGCCTTGAACCATCCCCTCCTTAACGTCGTCTCCGCAGGTCTTCAAAGTGGGCAACAAGATGAAAGAGGCAGTGAAGGACCTAACAGTGAACATGTACGAGGGGCAGATCACCGTCCTGTTGGGACACAATGGTGCTGGGAAGACCACCACGCTGTCCATGCTCACGGGTAGGAGCCCATCCTGCTGCGGGGCTGGCGTGGGGGAGGGACGGGTTGATGGTTTGATGTGCAGAGCGGAGCTGAACCCCATCTCTGAGGCTGGGGAGAGGTTTTTTCTGTTCCCTGGAGCATCTTTGGCTCACTGAGCCGTTGGCCAGGGATGCACCTCGCTGCCTGGGGGATGGAGGGAGCGTGGGGGGCTTTGCTCAGCCCTCCACGAGAGTGGGATCAGCCGGTTGGGGAGATGACAGCAAATCTTTGTGTTGGGGAGCCCTGAGAAGAGAAAGGACCCGCTGCAGGCTGGGTCTCTGCCGGCTTTGTCATGACAAGGCAGGGATGGCATGGGCCAGGAACTGCTCATCTTGGGGCAGAGAAGACTCTGGGGAGACCTGGTTGTGGCCTTTCAGTACCTAAAGGGGCTTATAAGAAAGATGGGGATAAACTTTTTAACAGGGCCTGTAGCAACAGGACAAGGGGTAATGGTTTCAAACTAGTAGAGGAGAGGTTTAGACTAGATATAAGGGAAAAATATCTTACGCTGAGGGTGGTGAGACACTGACCCAGGCTGCCCAGGGAGGTGGGAGATGCCCCGTCCCTGGAAACATTCAAAGTCAGGTTGGATGGGGCTCTGGGCAACCTGGGCTAGTGGAAGGTGTCCCTGATCACTGCAGGAGATGTGGACTAGATGACCTCCGTGGTCCCTTCCAGCTCCTGCCTAGCTCCTAGCAGCCTGGTTTGGCCTGGTGGCCATG